TGCAGGATAAAGAATGGACAGATTGTGTGAATTCCTTGGTGTCCGAATTCGGGACTGGATGTGTCCACTGGGTGCATGCCTTATGCCTCGTGTCCACTGGGGTCGACCGCTTTTGCGCAAAAAGCACAAAAGCATCAGCTTCCTGTCAAAACCGTTGTTTTTTCTAAAAAACTAAGACTAAGTTTTGTATAAACCTGTTTGTAGGGAACACCGAAGAAAAGCCCTAGGCAATCATTGTTTCTACATGTTTTTACGATGTCAACAAAACTCGTGCTTGTTCAGGGTACGACTTTATTTGGGTTTCTTGGAGCAGGCAGCAAGATCTCCCTAAGGCCAAGCCTTAATTAGGCCTCCGCTAACTTAACTTGCCGGGGGTCGTGAACTTAACCTGAAGCGTTGCTGAAATCAGTGAAACTAAGTGGCTTGATGACCCAGTGTGTCAAGTCGTAGAGATTGATCAACTTCACCTGCAAGATCTCTTGATCTTGTTGTCCTCGCCATGGCAGCTTGCCTCCATCCTGTGCGTCTTTTTTCGCGTCAACGCGGTGGAACTGTGACAGTGCGCGGTCGAAACGCATGGTGCTTGGATTGCGGAAGCTGAGGATCCAGAGATGGGGTGCAGCCGTAGGTGACTTTCAACACGTTTCCAAGAGTAGGCAATTAAGCCAAAAGATCCAAGTAGGAATTCAGGCAACAACTAACAAAGACAGTGTCTAAAATGTGGAGTGCATGCAAAGAATCGACTTACCATTGAGTGATGTAGGCTTAGACCATCTTAGACCAGCATGTAGCGATGCATTTTGTGTGTCCGGACCGAGTGTTGATGAATAAACACCCTCCAACCGCCGGTCCTGGTGTCACATCTCCAGTCCTGGTGGGTGTTATTCAACAGTCTACACTAACAGTCTGACTGCGAGCACAGTGCCTGCGGGCACAAACACCTGTGCCTGTGTTTGTGTAGCTTCCTATGGTGCCTGGTTCGCTGATCCGCTGACAGCCCCCGTCGCTGCGCGTTATGTTTACGGTTCCTTCCCACGAATGGATCGGGTTCCTTCCATCTTCTTCCCCATCTGCTGCCTCCGCCTCCGCTTCTAAGAATGCCATCAGCTCCTAAACGACGTGAAGCACGAAAAGCAGGTACATGGAGGATGCTAGGACCTGCTAGGATGGGTTCAACACACATCAGTGGCTTAAAGATTCATGGCTGGCAGGCTGGAGGAGTGGTCATGTCGCCCAGCATGAAATGCCTTGGAGATACACTACTTTTTCAAAAGGCCATCGCAAACAGGAAGTGATCACAAACAGGACTCCACTCCCAAGCCAAGAGGTGTTTGACCTGATGATGCTCCTTCACGTCTGCCTCTCTGGGCCTTTCATCCAACACAAAAACATCTTATAAACCCTGAGCAAGAAGGTCCTGATCAGCGGGGATTCCCACCGGAGTGCTTTTAGCCTTCAACCGGACCTGCCATACGCCCCAGCGCCCCCCCACGCCCAGCGGACCTGCAATTGCGCCAAGGTGATCCCACGCTCTTCGGTCTTCGAAATCTCCGTGATGGATCTCCTGCAGAGTTCGGGCGCCATCCGGTTCCGCCCAAAGCCAGTGTTGGAGAGCGGGAGGGGGGATGAGGGAGCAATGTATGAATATAGGCCCATTGAGTTGGGGTGTTTTGAGGGGTGAATCTAGGATAAATGATATTCCTGTCAGGCGCCATTGAGCATCTGCATGAACCTTGTTCTCTCTCCCTTGCAGGATGTGAACTGTAATTCAATCGATGCCCTTGCAGGATGAGGCAGCATTGCTGCACCCCGAAGGAACTCTCGTTTCGGATCCTTTCAGAGCTTCTCCCAATCACAGAGCTTTTTTTGGGGTAGAACGAACTACACATTCTGAAAACCAACAGGTTGACCCGATGGGAACATGGGACTTCCCCGTAGCCAATCTGGGGCACTTCCAGCTCAGAACCCATGATTTCAATCAAATCCTGGCAAGAATGGCAAGAACAGCCCTGGAAAAATCTGAAAGAAACATCCCCGAGCATTGCCAGCCCCTTTGCCTCTCCCTCTCTTCTTCCGGGTCTGGGCCTCTTGCGCAAGGGCCCCAAATCCGTGACCAGCACCCGGCATGGTAGTTCGTCAGCGGAATCCAGCTGCTGTCCATTGGACGAAAGCAGCTGACCTCAGCTGAGCTGTCCCGAGCGCCAATGAAGAAGCCGAGAGAAGCGAATTCTTTGAACAGTTTGTTGACTTGTGAACGTTTACTTTTCAGTCCTATTTCCAGAGTTCTCCCTTTTTTTGCTGGCAGGCACGTCTTTCAGGATGTCTATGGCGCATGATGATGGCGTATGATGTTCCAGATCAAGGTGTTACAAGTCCAACCGAAAAAGGAGTTGCTCATCAGGAAACAGCAGCCTGTCTCCTGTTCTCAGCAGCCCTTCAGTTGGGGGACTCCTCCAATCAGTTGGGATCTGCATCCGCATCCTTAAGAAGGAGCAAGCGGATCCTAGGATGTCCGGGAGTGCCGTTTTCTGCACAATTGTTAGAACGTCGACCATATTGGCCGTGAATGAACAGACGAAAAACCTTTGCCAAACCGACCTGGACATCTTCTAACTTTCGACCTTCCAGACCTCCGACTGAGAAACGTGCACACTGGGTAGCCAGAAGTGCAGCCCCAGAAGCCCCAGAAGGCAAGGACTGGACCCTTGAGAGGTTAATGTCACAGAATGTCCGCCCTTGACCGCACAGAATCCTTCACAAGGTAGCCATATAGGTAAGCCTACCAACAACCCTGCCGCAGTGCTTTCATAGCATTTCTGGCATGCAGTACGAAGGAAACATCGCTTGGTGCAGATCTGATTCAGCAAACCTACGGGCCAGTTCCAACACGGTCCAACCGCCACCCACCAAATGTGTATCAAGATTTCACGAACAGCGACGCCTGCACAAGAAAACCATCCGCCACCCTCCTGTCCCTCTAGAAACACGCTCTCCAGACTCGATCGTCACCCCTCTGATCTGAAGCTAATACATCCACATGCACTACCACTCTTACGTCGACTACTTACAACAATCGTTATGTGGACAAGATGAACATCAAAGAGTGCATACATATATAGCTCTCTCCAAGGTGCAGGAGATGGGAATGGCATGGGACATCTGGATCTCCTCCGTGAGATGCGACATACACAGAATCAACACATATCAGAACTTACAAAAAAGACATTGAAACCTTGAAGTGTTCTGCCAGGGTCAGTCCGTGTATCAACAGTCCATCCTCAGATAAGTCCAACCATGTGAACTGTAGACCATGGCTGCAAATCCTTGGAGAGATCCCCCAGCCGAAAGAGAACCGACAATCCTGGCTCCATCACACCGCTGAGAGCTCTCCTCTCATATCTCTCATCCTCGGATCGATCCATTTTCCCAGCTCCATCAGCCATTCCTGAACCACGTCCTAGATCTTGAACCACGGCCGGCCCACGAATCTAGAATCTAGACATATCTAGCCGAGGCGGCCAGACCCCAAACAAACATGTACAAACAAAAATGGATCTCTAAGAACGACCCATGAGCGACCCATGAGATCCTGTGAGTGTCCTCTCTTTGGTTCCACCGAACCCTTTGACCCCCACCCCTCATCTCCTCCATCAAATCCTTCACAGTGCGAAGTGTGCTGCCAGCACGAGGCTCAAGGCTCAAGGCTTCTTTTCGGCGCATGACGTGTAGCTGGGCAGCCATGGTGATGGATTCAAACGGGCAAGCCCGGTTCGGGGAATCCTGGGGATGATGGTGGTTGCAGGATCTATGACGACACTATACGACACTAGTACTATTTTGTAATTATAGGAGTTAGTTTAGGGAAGTAAGTCAAGCCATCCACATCTTTTGGAGCCTATTTCTGGCATGCCGAAAAGCGCGGCGAGGCATGGCATGCCTGCTTCAAGCGCCTGACCTGTACTTAGACTGACACAGCCGGGTGCTGTTCACTGAGCATAGCTCTTCGTTTCTCAACGGACATGCCATGCACGGAAGACTAATTTGAGATACAAATTCAAAGACGGGCAGATTCCATCTGTATTTAGCAGCGACGAAGGACTCCTCTGAATCCAGCAGCGCAGCGCGCAACAGCCATTTTTTTCGCCGCTCGGATCAGGATCCCAAGCCTCAGCTCGGGATGACGGTCGATGTTGAAAAACACCGAAAGGACGATGAGATAGGACTCTTGGGCGCGTATATACTGAAATAGGACTCTTCGAACCCATGAACAGAAAGGAATCAACACAGTCAGGCAGGAACATTTTGAAGTCAGAAGTCTCCAGCACTACACTGCAATCACCAGGAACGAACGAAGTGCTCTTCTCACCAGGAACCCCCCACGTTGCCCGCCACCACCAAAGGCTTGGAAGCGGCTGGGTCCTTGCATGCACTTGCACGTGCGTCACTCGATTGGGGTCGTTCCAGAGGGGCCATGTCAGGCGAATCCCTGCAAAGGACCACATGGAACACCAAAACGGTGGGTATTCGGAAACCACCGGGACAAAGTCTCAGGTTCCATGTTCGTTTGCGCAGTCTTCGAATTCCTGCGTCCCAGCGTGGATCGTGTGGACGGTCCAAATGCTGTGGATCCAACCCCCACAACACCATGTCGGAGCCGTTTCGGGTGGGCGGTCTCCGTCGCGTGATCGGGTTCCAACCTGAGGGTCCCAAGCTTCGCGCAAGCGCGACACGAACACCAACCGAGCACCGCGGTGTCCGTCGTATGGCGGAAAAAGAAAGACACCATCTCTGTCCTTGAGGCGCGCTGGGTGCATCAGCCTGGAGGGAGCCAGGGGAGAGCTTAGTCGCAGGCGCAAGGAGAAGTAGTCGGCACTATATATGGTTTTCTAGCAGACATGTGTGATGTGATGTGATACTCAATCAGAAGATGCACTCCCTGAAAGAATTCATGAAAGATGATGGCACCACCTGTTTGAGGAAAATAAGGGACCATTGTTCACTTCCATGATTGTTTCAAGGAGTGTAGACTGATATAGCCGGGAAACAAATGAATCCTCACAACCACATGGAACTTGCTCTTTCGTAGGAGTCTTGCTGCGATGAATCTAGGCCAATGGAATGAGGAAATCTCGTGGACCTTTCTGCAATTCAATCTGGGAGTCCCGGATGGAACCGCTTGAAAACATGTGTGAAGGCAGTGAACCTCTGAGGCGTCACCAGTTTAAACAAAGACATCCCCAGGGCATCTTGGACATCACCAGGGCATCTTCAGCAGGGTATCAGATGTATCGGTCTGAACGTCTGGTGGCTGACATCCGCTTCAGATCCACTTAATTAAGCTACAGTAGTTTGCCGATGGCAAACTGGCATTCGGCACCCTTCCGGGTTAGCTCAGACGACTCCTCTGCGCCGGCGTCCGTCGGTCGGCCTGCAAGAAGGGCTCGGCGGAGGCGCCTCGGCCGAGCCCTGTTGTAAACTGGTTCGATCGGTGGGTACCAGGAACATGTAAGTTCAGGGTGCCTGACTCCAAGTCCTGGCAGAATGAGTCCATCCACCTTCAACATCTGTGAAGGTTACCAGTGTATGGTGAGAGCCCGTGGATGGGTTAGAGCATAGGTTTGTCATACTTTGAAGGTTTCATGAGGATCTGATGGGCATAAGGTGGAGCCGAGAAACCCAAGTTCCCATCACACAGGGAATCGGAACACCAGACAGATGCTTTTTTCTCAGAATAGAGAGGGTGGAAGAAACACCAATTCAATTTTCATGCAGCCTCTTCGTGACTCTCCTTCATGACAGGTGAGGGATCAGAAAAGGATTTACCGGTCAAAGAAATTGTTTGAGGAGATCAAGACTAAGTTGGATCAAAACCTATCCGTGGCTTGGTGTCATTGGCAGCAGCACCTTCTGCACGTACCGGGCACGTACCGTATGTGTGTGTGACCCCCTTGGAGTCACGGGTTTCGTCGTTTTACGCTATGATCAGCAGGGAGTGCTGCACCGTCTTGGAGTGACCACAATGAAGACACCGTCTTTGACTGCTGTGATGTCCGCAGGGGGAGCCTTTTGGCTGTGGGCGTTCTAGTATATTGTTCTTCCGGGCGTGACCAGGCTGTTTAGGTGAGACGTCGCGGTTGGCAGTCTTGCATTCCCGCATTTGCCTTGAACACTTTGAGCGTTCGGAGTTGGAGCCTTTTAATCTTTGAAGGGTTTTTGATTTGTAGGAATAAACAAATCATTGCGCAACTGCTCTTGTGTTTTTGGCGGAACTCGCGAAATGTCTATCCAGTGGAACCACATCATTATGAGGAAATCAAGCGGACCAGGGGACCAGATGGGACCAGGCACTAACCATATGTTTTGTTGCTACTTGTTTGAACCTCATCATTTTTCCAATACCTATAAGTATACCCTTCACCACTCGTTTTGACGCTGTCTCATTGCCGAGTTCATCGATGATTTGAGCGAAAAAAGGCCAACCAACGGGACCTAGCCGGTCAGCGCCCGGTCAGCGCGAAGTACCGAAGTACTGAAGTAGCACGTGTTCATTCTCCGGACACAACGGGGCGAGACCTCTCTTGGAGACCTCCTTCAACATGGAGACCTCAGGGAGACCTCAGGGAGACCTCAAAACACTGGGGCAAGACCTCTCTTGGAAACCTCCAGGGAGACCTCAAAACATGTGGGGATACCTCCAGGACATGTGGGGATACCTATCAAAGCTTTCGAACTGCCACTCATGTAGACGGTCCAGAAAGGCTCCAGCACGTGACGTGTGTTCAGGCGCCCTCACAAGGTCGCCCAAAACGTCACTACGTATATCATTTCTGAACGCAAGGTCTTTTGAGACGGTTTCCTCCGTGTGGGGCTATGAACACAACATGGACCACTTCTCAAAACGCTTTCACCACATATCTTTGGACACTCTACTACAATATTCCTACATCTATTGACATACATCAGGGTTCCCAGGTCAAACCTCACCAACCAAAAACAATCCATACACCCATACACGCCAAAAATACTATCTTAAACACAACTGCAAGCAAGTAGCGGTTGTCAAAGTCCTGGCCAGAACACCACAGCTTCCCAGCTGTCCAAGTTGGATCAACAAGTGTGCTATGCTAAGTTACCAAGTCGTGTACCCCCTTCTCTTGCACTTTTCCGGCATTCTGGCTCTTCCGTGAGCATCTGTGAGCCAACCAACCCCATCCGTCAACGTCGCGTCACCGGTGCCGGTCATCTGGTGTCGCCAGTTGGGCAAAGCCTGTGGCACGTGCGCGTGCGCGCGCACGTTCGCACCGAAGAGGATGTGGAGATGAGAATGTTTCAATGTCCCGGACCATCAAACCGCTGTTGTTGACTTATTTCTCCCAAAAGAAAAGAACGCTAACTAGGCCTAGCCTATTAACATAACTTATAACTATTACAAGATGATGATGGGTTCCTCTGGGTCAATATGGGTCAATGAATAGCTAATACATTCGTCCATACAGTCTCTTGACACTTCCCTGGAGTAACTCCCGCACGGTTCCGTGGACTCCACGCGGTGTAGAAGATGCCTTATAGACTCGTCGACCGTCTACTCCTTTTCATCCAAAGAGTTAGGACACGTCCCTTGCTCAAGTCGATTCAAACGTTTACTGTGTAACACTCCTTCCCCTTCCTTCCATCATCAGTATATGATTCTTCACACAGGTCCAATCCCTTTGAAAGCATCCTTCCGTTTTCGGAGCTGTGTCCCATCCCCACCTAGTTCCCTTGTCCATCTTTCCGCTGCCATCTCTGTTCACTTGCGGCTTCACTTGCGACCAGTCTACTCCGCCCACATGAGTTGACTGGGCACCGCGGTTCTCAGGCGGCGGACGCCTTGGCGACCGCCGCCTTCGATGCTTTTGGTGTTCGGTCTCGTGTAGCCAACCGGATCGGTGACGCGGCTCGTGTCTTCACGCGACTCGCTCTCCTCCAAAGCCATCGTGGCCACCTCTACGTCGGCCACGATGGCGTCGGCCCCAATTCTTCCATCCGTGGTTTGGTTCAAAAAATGCTGCGGGTCCACCAGAGGTCACCGAAACATCTCGCCAGATTGGATTGTCTCAAAGGCGCCATGACCGGCCCTTTCTGGCACGCCGAAACGTCGAATGTCTGGAAAAGGGACCGGTGAACCGGTGAGACGGCACATCACCGAACTCTCCACCCTCGTGGATTCGTGGATTTGGGAGTTCATTTTCCCAAGAACAGTTGGGCCATCCACAACTACGTCCTTCCTGTGACCAGGGTCAAGGTGCTTCCTCCCCAGAGGGTTCCGACTCCAATGACATGTAGAAACATGTATAGAACATGTATACCTAACAGTCCATTTCATTGCCAGCATTGCGCGACACATCTGGCCCCGTTGGCTTCATGGAGACGTTGCCCCTGACCGTCACAGCAGCGCAGCTGCACAGCCCCAAAGGCCATCAATGTGTCGTACAAGGTCTTTTTCATGGGTCACCAGGGTTTCTTGCCCCTTTTTGCTCAACTCTGTCAAACACATATTTAATTTGTAGACCCCACAACAGCCGAGGGGGCCGAGGACATGAAAGGACTCAAATCCTGCGGTGAACTAGTTCAGTCATGCGAGTCATGCAACATAATGATGTTGAATATGGACCAGGCCGTGTGGGAGAAAGACCCAAGGTGATAAGTCTACATATCCCTCCACTATGCATAATTGGTCTACTAACTTGTCCCGAAAGAAGCTTTTGGACGATCATCATTCAACTGTCAACCATCGTGATCTGGCTGAATCGCAACTCTTCGCCGACCTCCAACAAAGTCGTACTTAATACGAACACGATATCAAAGGGCCGTATGTGCCAGGTTGTCATACTCATACTGAGACGATTGGTCAACGAACCCTGCCGCTGCTTGGAGGGCCTGCTTCATATTCTTTGCTAGAAGTGATGGATGTTCACTCCCACCATCCAACTTCACTCCCACCATCCAACCGAAGTGGTGTTCCGGATGCCTTTGACCTTGGTGAGACGAACACATCGAGATGGGCTTTTGAGGCGAACACACCTTGCTCCTCACAGCTTCGCATAGGCGACCGTGGCCGTTGCGACCTCCGCGCCGTGGTGGAGCCTCGGCGGATGGGTTTGAATGTCCATGTTATTCCATGTTCTGTCTTCGTTTTGTTTGAATTCCTTCTCACATCCACGAAACATCCAACACCCACGCTTTTTGGGAAATTGAAATGTCTGGCAAATATAGAAATACTGAATGACTGGTTTACATATATTTTTATCATTCATTAATCATAATAGTATGGATGTTCAGAACATGTGTATATAGTTATATTGTTCTTTAATGATATCTACTCTCGCAGAATTCTTCAATGACTGCCAAAAGTCACCATGCGGTGGGCGCTTTGGGTTGAGATGGCAAGCATCCCGGCCCACCTGTCAGCCCCCCTATGATAGCTTTTGGCTGATATCTAATACCCTGACAATCCCTGACATATCGCAAGAAAAATGGACTCCACCAGCTTTTTGGTGCCTATCTCTACTGGGAGATGGGTACAGTACCTGTGAACCCAATTGCCTTGTTGAGACCTCAGGTGATTTTCAGGTGTTTTTACGACCTGCCTCTCACAGCCTCCTCTCCACCCGAACCCCAAACACACACGTCCAGAAAAAAACGCGTCCCACCCACAAAATTTCAGCATTTCACCAGCTCAAGTTTCAAGCTCACTCGCGTTGCTCGTTCTTTTTTATTTGTCTGCTCAGCAGCCATGACAGAAGCTGGGGACACACGGTGTCCATGTTGCTCAGCGCTTCTGCTGTATCGACATGCCTGCGTCGCTGCTGCGCCCAACGGCGATGCTTCGCAGCGATGCTCCGCGTGCGGGATGGGATGCCCACGGGCGACCACTGCAGTGGCCGGTGACCGGTGAGAGGTGTTCTTCCCATGCGATTTGAGGTGACCGGTGATGGTCCAAGAAGCGAAAAAATCCGGCCTAAAGTGAGAAGATCATCGGGGCCTGTCTAGTAAGAACATCTCTTCATGATCTGAGAACCACTTCCCGAAGCTTTGGTTCTTTAAAGCCACAATGCTCATACTATACTACCTTTCCCATCACAACACAGCGACACCACCAGTGCGGAAGACAAAAGAACACGTCCCGGTCCTTCGCGACTTTAGAAGCGACCGACCGAATCCGGACAGACATCGAGCGAGAAACTCCGAACGACGAGAGGCCGCGCCGCCCCGCGCGCCGCGCGCCGCGCCTGCCAAGCCAATGCAGCAGGGCGACGCTTCCGCCAGTGGCCAGGCCCAGGGGAACGGCGCTCACCACACCTGAAGCCGAGCGACCGAGCCGCGTGGGGTCGAGTCGAGTCGTGAACGAAGGCGTTCCGAACGGATCCGAACGGAGCCTCACCGGTGCGGTGCTGAAGCCCACTGTGTGTGTCCACACTGTTCGGGGAAAAACAACACTTTATATTAATGTGCTTCGAATTGAAGCCACTGTTGAAAATGAGGAGTCGTCGTTCCAAGGAGTTGCGTTGTGTTGCGGCGGTTTTGAACACATCTTGCATAGACGATCAGCATGGACACCTATATGGACACGAAGCCTGCATGTTACATCATGTTACATCCAGCATGAGCCCTGAAAAATGGTCGGGCAGGATTCATTGGTGGATCCAATTGCCAATGTTCGATCTTCCATTGCTTGATTTTGATGTTGGGGCTATCCCTTCAAAAAGGTACGGCGCCAGTTGGAAATGACTCTTCAACACTTTTTTAAGCGTTCGCACAGCGGCACAACTCACCCAAGTTCAACAAGACCAAGCGGCGCACGCGCCGGTCCATGCCGGGCTTCATGCAAAGCGTCAAGAGCATCTCGGAAACAGCAACGCGGCGAGGGTGTGGGACCATGCAAAGCACATTATATTCATTCGATGAAGTCGCTGGGAGGAAACAAATCCCTCTGAGTACCTTGAGGTGCATCATGGATCGACGGGTTCAGTCTTTTTTACCCCTTACAACTGGTTGGCTCAAGTGCTGTGAGTCTAAGACCAAAAAGGGACTCAGCGAGCGCTGTGCAAAATTGACACCAAGATGGGAATGGCTCGACCATGGTTTCTGGCGAAATCGCCCGAATCCCCCTGTCAGTATGATCCCTAGGGGACATATTTGTTCATATGATCCCTTGGGCTCCTGGCCCATATCCTCAGAAGGTGCCCACCCCAACCACCAAACCTGGGGATGTGGGCCAGGAGCCCTGGGGATAGGCACGAATCCCTGGTCCACAATCGTCACAGGAATCGCCAAGAATCTGCTTTTGCCGACAGAAAGGAAAAAGGGACATGTTACAGTTACAGTTCGATGCAGTTCCATGAAATTTGGTGCCCATCTCCAAGGATCGTTTGAATACAAACCAACCACCCACTAAACAAATGATCTAACTCGCACACACACACACACACCTAGGGTCGCGCTGTACCCATGATCCGAGGCTCTCTAGCTGTCTAGTAAGTGCAAACAAACACGAGCTTGGCCAATGAGGTGAAGCACCCACACAACATCATACAATGCTCCCAGCCAGTGGCCAGCCAGTGGCCCTTAAGAAAAGGCTTCCAGTGACCACACCACCTGGGATCTCAAGTAGGGTCTGTGTATACGACCAAAGGGACCTGCAACCGGCAGCACACCAGCAAGGCACCAGCAGCACCACCAGCAATAGGCATCTTTTACAATCACCTTGCTGACTTGCTGATGCAAATGATGCACTACCATTACGACTGGTGTTTTCTGCATCAGTAAATTGCCAAAAACAGTCTCCGTTGGAAAATGAACACTACCAGCCGAGTCACGCCGCTCACGAAGCCGCCCACGTGGCCCAGCACGTCCTGAGGTGCAGCGAAGACGATGTCTATCAATCCATCTATCCATCTATCTGTCATCTGTCCAGACACAGCATCAAATCAATCCATCTAATCAATTGATCATGATATATCTATATCTGTCTATCTAGACACACCAATTATATACACATATAACCAGGGACCACAAGAGGTGGTGAATGGACACCCCTTCGATGCTTTCAGCTATTGGACACCGCTTGATGGAGTCGAAAAGAGGCCAGTTCCGCGGGCTGCGTTGGCATGTTGGGTGAAGGTTGGCCCAAAGAAAAAAGAAAACAAACAAGCATAACGGAACCCATGAGATGCATGTCATATCAATATCAAACTATACACAACTTATGTTTTTCCAGGCAACAAC